ACGTTCGCTCACCCATCCCCTACCCGCAGTGGGATGGGGAGGAGAAATGGAAAAAAGAGAGAAACTCATGGGTTGAGATAAAAACAGTTTAATAAAGCAACAAAGGAAATACTAATACTAATAATGCTACTACTACTAATAACAATGATAATAACAAATATGCAAAACAAACTATATACAAAACTATTTTTCTCACCACCTGATGAGCAATTTGCAGTCACTCCATGAGCAGCAATCGTGGAACTCCACGTCACAAATTTTGCGAATTTTGCAAAACTTCTGAAAAAGACCCAACTCTTGGAAAAAAGGTTCAGACTCCCAGAGAAGAGAGGATTTGAGATCCAAGACAAGAGCAGAGCCCATTGCTTCCTGCCCCCCAGGCCAACCCTTATTCATAATCCGAGGATGATGTCCATGCTACGGAATATTTCCATTGGCCAGCCTGGGCTGGCTGCCTGGCTGTGCTCCCTCCCAGCTCCTGCACACCGGCTCATTAGCTGACCAAGAGAAACTGGAAACAAGTCCTTGATTTCATAGCAACAACTGGAAACACCAGTGTTACCAACGTTCTTCTGGTACTAAATCCAAAACAGAGCAGTTGCTGAGAGGAAAATTAACTCTGTCCCAGCTGTAGGTTTCGATGCCTTTGAACCATTTCCGGTAATGCTGTTCCCTGAATGTCTCAGGCAGATTTCAGAGTTGAAGGTGACAGTATTCCAGGAGAAAATCTTGACCCATCATTTATGTGCTGTGAATTGGTTTCCTTCCAGTAGGAGAATCAGCAGGATGGTGTTCATTTTTGTAACGCATTCCAGTATGCATTCATTTTTAATTTTTCACAGAAATAAATGCTTCAAAATTATGTTAGGGAATATAGTATCACTGTTTGGTACTATTATATATCAAAGACTTCAGGGTATCTTTACAAGCAGTACTTCAAGCTTCCACACACAGGCTCTGGCTATATACAAAACCCAGCTTCTTCATCTTCTAAAATGAAATCATCCTGATATTTGTTCATATCTTGTTTTTGAGAACTTTTCCTGGAGTAAATTCTGTTTCCCCCTCTTCCAAACATGACTGCTTCTTCCACTTCTCAGTACTCAGCTTTAACTTCATGATTTGCACTGTGATTATCTGTTTTAATACTCTGTAGGATAAAATGCACACTTTATCATGTGTATCTCTGTATACAGGTTTGGATGGAATTCTATATACCAGAGCTTTAAGATTCTTTGTTTTCAAATGTTCAGACATACTTCTTTCCTTGGGGTTTTTTTTCATAGTGATATCTAAGACTCAACTTCTCCTACACTGATATATTTTAAGGTAATCCCTAAAACGAACAAGGCAGACTATTTAGTTGCTGCAAATTTAGACTTTCTTTGATCAACTTTAGTCTTTGAATTGTAAATGTAAAAACAGTACTATACACTGCCTGCATTTGGCATTTGGGTTTAGGTGCTACAGTGAAACTTTTTGCTCACAACTCCAAAAGTCTAGTTCTTTCTTGCTATTGGGAAGGAAATATAGACTAGTAAGACTTCCTAAGCAGTGTGTTTTTGAAGTCTATAGTGACTTTTACAACTGACACTTCAACCAAGAGTAGTTTGATAACTGTTTTGCATCAGGAGATGCCAGCTTGTTATGATCCCAGCAAAAAAAAAGGGCACTCAGACTCTGTAAGGTTTTATTTTAAATCCTTTTTATTAGAGCTAATGCTATGAAGAAAGAAAGGACAGAATAAAAAATCCTAGGTCCCTTCAGATGCTGGGAACCCTGAGCAAAATTACAGAACAGAGGAACTTGGTCCAGTGGCTCTGTTTTCTGGAAAAGCAGGTATAAGCATTTCCAAAAATAATGCTGTTATTTCATACTTATTTCCTTTTCATCCCTTACTGTCTGGCTCTAGGATTACAGAAGGAGCTGATTAATCCTTTGTACTAAAATTGAAATTCATTTTTGTCACTGTTCAGTTTGGAGTCTCTGATGGTCCTTGAAATCCTTCTGGACATTCTTGGCAGTAGGTTTCTGAAATCTTGATGGTCTATAGATAAAACTGAAATAAGATATATGGGGAGAAGTGATATGTTGTATAAGACAATCATATATTTGTTAATTATTTCAATGTTGAGTATTTTACTGAATTATTTAATGTAGTAGTTGAGGGGATATTTCAGCTACTAGGGGTATTTGCAGTTGCCAGCAAAAAAATTTCTATGTTCTCTTTATTATCATCATAGCGTTAAAAGTTGCTTCATTTTGGCTATGAAGAATTCTCTGAGATAAAGTTAGCAGAAAAAATCCCCACATATTAAAGGCTGGTCCAGTTGTTTCTCACAACAGGCAAAAGCGTGTCTAGTGAATGGTATTCCCTTTCTTGAAAACTTTTGCCTTGCCAATGTTCTTTATTTCTTGAGAAAATAATTAACTTCTGCAACATTCTCTGAAAACTGAATATCTTATTGGAATAAGTTCTTCAATCGGGGCACAAATGCTCCTCAGGTTTTTTGTCAATAAAAAATTGGCTACCGAGAATGTATTGGAAGAAAAGATGCTACATCTGTGATAAAATAATCTGTTTTTGGCAGAGGTGGGTACAAGGCAAGAACAGATTCTCTGTAACAGAGGCACTCATCTCTGAAAATCAGTAGTTCATGCTGGTATAGTTACAACTACGTTCTGGTGGGTTGAACCCCTTCCAAGGTAACATTCCTACTGCACTATAGGGTCTTGCGTCTGTAAGGATGCATAGGTACTAGGGAAGTCGTTCTAACACGAGGAAAGTAAGAGCTCAGGATTGCCACTTTCCTTGATGATAGTTGCAGTTTGGATGCTTTGGGCTGGTAATCCATCCTTTCACTACCAATTTTCAAGGTCCAGAAGAGATTAGGTGTCACCTACTCTAACTGCCACTTCACTTCTTTTCCTTCATCTTTTTTTTTCTTTTTGAGCTTACTGCTTGTAAACAAAGTTCTTCCTTTAATATTCGATATCTTTTATCATTTGCCTCTAGTGTGAAATCTGCAGAGATGTCAGTTCTTTCACGCTCCATGCCGTTCTGGTACAAGTTTCTTAGAACTTTCTTTAATTCAATCTTTTTTCTCATTTTCTATCTTCTGTGTTAAAAGGATTTATCAATTCTAGTTTCGAGTAGAAGAATTCAACCCTTACAATTTTTAGTTCAATATTTCTATACTGTTCTTCTTCATCTCTTCATAGTTCAACTCCAAATAACTTCAAAAATGCCTCCTTGGACTTTGTTAGAGACAATGTAGTAACTCTCAGTCACTTGAACTAATAATATCCATTCGTGACACGGGCAATTGTGTCTCTAAAGCTGAGGTTTCCTGAGTGGAGAAGCTAGGAGAATACCACGATTTTCTTACTGCTACACAGAGCCAGCTGGAACAACACAATCCTCCTTTAGCCTGTTAACTGTGAGTGACCCCTGAACTCCATACTTTCAACATTTATCTAAACTCTTGAGAGAGTTTCTGAACTAATGAAGCCAAGAGGAAAAATCAAGGCTATTTCAGCCTGGATATCTGCTTTAAAACCCAAAATGAACACTGTTGTCTCATTGTGGTCTTGGGGAGCAACACTATTAGACCAGCTTCCAGCTGGGGCACCAGTGTCCTCTTCCTGAATATCTCACCCCAGCTGCTTTGGTGTGGGAGCAGACAGTGACCACAGCTCCAAGCTGTGTGGGAGCATGCTTAACCAAGAACTGATTGGCTTGAGCGCTGATCTCTCAAAGATGGCATTTATTTCTTATTGCTACAGTTGCGCGTATACTACACACTGCCTTCACCGCTACTCTGAAAATGTGCAGAGCATTTGTTGTTAAGTTTCAGAGTTTGGCTCTTCAGAAGTCTGCTCCATAGTATAGTACTACAGGTGTTTGGTTTTTTTCAATGGAGGAGTAAAAAGGGAAGGAGTAGGCATTCTGTGTCGGGTGATGGTGGGGGTCAAAGGGGTCCAGAAGAGCCCTGACACTGTATGGCAAAATGGTCAGCCACTCAAAGCAGAAATTGTATGCTTATTTCCAGACCATCCAACTGCAAGCAGCCCACCTGACTCAAAACCATCCTCCGACACCTCTGAAGAGGCACTAGGTAGGTAATCCTCTGTCATTCAAAAGACAGTTTCCAGAAGCCTGTTAGATTGCATTTTAAAGGGGAGAGTATAGATTTTGTTCAGAAAACAAACAAATAAAAAGTCTGACATCTCAGGAATAAACCACCTCATCATGTGCACTCATAGGATGAGCTCTCAAGGCTAGAGATGTTTCACATTCTCTTCTTTAAAACTACTGCTTGGTTAGCACTGCATTACTGTTTCAGAGGGAAGAAGCACTGGTTGACTCCTCTCATGCTAGTACCGGGGCGCCCGTGGCTAGGTGAACGGGCATGAATGTAACAGTGCCTTCGGTATCACAGCGTTGTACTGAGCATGATGGGTCAACGTGCGCATACTGCTTTTCAAGCACCCCTCCATTCTTAGCATTTTAACTAAGTGCAATTCCTTTTTTCTGATTAGGAGCTGTTGAATAACCAAAAAACTATATCACACAGTCACCATCTCCCTGAATCTCCTTTTCCAGGTCTCATTGTCTGTTCCTGCCAGTACCCTGCCTGGCAATGGAGAGAAACATTCTCTCTTTCAGTAGCATCACTATTGCTGTATTTTGCAGCAGGGAGATAACACTTCTGAAATCTGAAAGCTGCTTTTTGCCCTGCCTTTATCTCCTGAGCAAAGATTTAAAAGGCTGGATGATGTTATCTGTGATTCGACTTCTCTGACTCATGCCTAGTGACTCCTGGGCTGGTATTAGCTGCAGAGACTGGCAGGGATCCCTGGTGGTCTGGTGAAAATTATAAGCAAGACTGCACAGCTACTTTTCTGGCTGTAACTTACTCTCTTACCTTCATTTTGTAATGACATCCTTTCGTTCGTGTGAACATGGATTTTTCCACACCTGTGCTTCCCTCCTGCAGGCTGCCCCCTACACTGGGAGAAAATGGGGAAAAAATGCTACTACTTTTTTAAAAGCCAGCATGAACAAGACTGGAACACCTCCCGAAAACAATGTACTGGCATGGATTCAGACCTGGTGATCATTGACAGCACGGAAGAACTGGTGAGATCTAAATTCGTGGGGCTGCTTCCAGGGTTGCTTTGACCTGTATGCCAAAGGGATGATGGGTTACACTTGTGTCTTCTCATGTTAGATGTCTTCGGGGGTCTGTAATGCACTGCTAACTCTATACACCAAGCACCTCTGCATGGTAGCAAACACCTTCACAGTAAGGTGCATCTTGGTTCTTGAAGTCTTACGTCTGGAAGCTTCTTTTCCCAGGCATGCTCCCACGGGCAGGAGCAAACTCTCTGCCTACCTGACTTATGTTTTAAAGGAATTTAGCACACAGACCAAGACAAAGCAAGTCAAACAGACACTTATTTGTGAGATCCATTGCTTTAATGAAAAATGAAAAAGCTTTCCCATTGTAATCAGAACAGAAAAGTGTCTCCAGGTATCAAGTCACACCTGGCTAACTACAATGTGCAGCTTTAATGGTGTCACAGGTGTATTGTTCTATTTAGTGTATTCCTAAGAAGCCCCAGGAAGAGAAATGAGATTAAACAAAGATGGAAAAATTCAGCCTCTGAAGCTGTGGAAAGGGGTGGTGTGGGTGGATACACACTGTTCTTTCTGTGTTGCCTATTTATCATTACCGTTTCTGTGTACCCCTGGTGAAGAAAACATAACTTTAATGTATTATCATTGATTGTTTCCTTTCTAGAATTATCTTTGTTCAAGATCAGAGGGTCAGTACTACTTACTTGGTCTCACATACTCTGAGAGCGACAAGAAGTGGAAGTGGATTAACAACATGGAACACAGCACAGACATGTAAGCTTCTTCCAGCAAGCCAGTGTGATGCAATGTACAGCAAAGGAAAAAAAGAATAAACACAGCCAATGACAGGGAGTACAAGTTAGATCAGGGACTGCAATTTCTGGCAACCTGATTTCTTGAGGTTCAGGAGATTCAGTGCATCCCTGTGACAAGCCAAAGGGAGTCCTTAAATGAGTCACTTGGGGACACAAGTATGTCACATCAGGATGGCAAGAGAGGACACAGCTGTAGTTCTGGCAGGGAAGGAGAAATCTGACTAGATGGAGTTCGGTGGGGACAGAAAGGATAAACCAGGCAGGTACAAGAGAGAGTGTGATGGAATGCAAGCTACCAAAGCAGGGGAAGATCTCGGGATGGGAAAGCATAGCCCATATACATTTGTTGAGACCTAGAGAAGAAAATTAAGCAATGAGAGGGACACTTTAACCAAGCGGCTTCTAATCCCACTGACAATAATAGAGTTTAGCAGCAAGGCCAGGTGCCACTCTGTCTTTCATGGAAGTGATACTGACTGCACTGCATCCAGCTAGGTCAGGAACACAACTAAATCTGACTTTCTCTCCCCGTACAGGTTTCCTATAAAAGGAGAACACATTAAAGACTATTTGTGCACTGTCATTGGACACAAATGCATAGAAACTGCACCTTGCGGTGGAGATTCATCAACACAAAACATGTGTCAAAAAGCTGCAAGTATTTCTGACAGGCTGAAGGAAAAACAATAAAAACAGGTCCAGGCAGAAACATCATCTCCAGCTTCCTGTAGGAATGGTGGATAGGATTGGTCTCACTTCTCTTTACTGCCTAAATATCTAGTAAAAGGGACTCTTACAGGTTCCTTCTAAAACACCTTGCCAAGTTTAGCACATTCTTTCCCAAGATGGGTGTCTGAGACTGGATGGACCCCCCTCTAGATGAGCCTACATTTTCACACATTAGGAGTCTGGGTGACTTGCTCATACCAGATGTCTGACTTCCAGGTAGCCCCTGTTAGCTGACGAAGCCAACCGCAGTGACAGGTATGATCCCAAACAGATCCTGTCTCTCAAAGACACACAGATATATACCCAAACATTCACAGTCCTGCCTGTGCACAAGGAGATACTCCAAAGCCCTGCCATGCATTTGTCTTCCCTGCAGCCAAAAGTGAATGTTAACACATATTTATATTTTGGATCCTGTAGAAGTGTGCAACCACGCTCATAGCCATGTGTCGTAGATATGATTGACCAGACATAGTCAAATGTGTGTGTATAAATCTTACTCTGTAAGAGACTGTCTCTGTTAAAAAAACACAATGGATGCCAGACCCTGTGGGGCTAAAAAGGGAAATGATCGCACACCACAGCTCTGTGCATAAAATCACCACTTGTCCTGTGCAGGCCAGGGAAAGTATATCAGATTTAGACTTCACCCCACTGGGGAACAGCAAAGAATTATGGGCAGTAGACACCACCAAAGCCTGAAAAACAGAGTCACAATAACAGCTCACCTGGACAGAAAACAGTCAAATAAAAAACACAGTTACCTGTGAAGAAGCTGGTGAGAAGTATGAGAGTGACCTACAGAGAATGACAACACAGCGGACTGTCCTGTTTTTCTTGCATAAGGATCAAAGGAGAAAATCATGCGTGAAGGATTTTCCTGCACAGAAAAGTTAGAGCCAACATCAGAAACAGGTGGTATCAGTAGAGCAGAGATGTGACCAGCAAATAGTGACTATTACCAAAGCTCTTCCAGTGTCTTTCAGTGGCTTTTGGGACCCTGGGGCTTTTGTGATGCCGAGGATAATCATTCTTACTATGTCCTTTCAGGCAGAATCATTCCTACTTAAAATGGTGCCATTCACGGCTCTCTCCTTTGTCTGCAGGATGGAGAAATCTCTGTGAATTCCTTGACAAAGTGACAGTGATGCCCTGCTTTCTCACTGAAGGAAAGAAAAAAATTTTTGCTTAATCAAAAAATTTCTACTCGGAATGTTGTGGCCAAGGGTAGTGAAAATGGAATCATGCAAGAAAAACTCTCTCATCCTGACTTAAAAGCACATTTTTATGTCCTTCAGACAAATTTTATGTCCCTCTCACTGCCCTCATTCATCAAGACTCTTTTGAAATATATTTGTAGTTCCCTCAGTGACCTTTAATCATCAAAGTAAGAATACGTAGCTGTAACAGAATGCTCTCAGTAGCAGAAACCAGAACCTAAACTACTATTTCAGAAGGAAGCTGTGCTGGAGGGGCTATTTTTTGTACCCAATTCACACAAGGGGGTGGGAGAGGGCCCTGTTGTGTCATGGAGCAGCCTGGAGGAGGGCTGCCCTTTTATTTTCATATTCCAGCTGCTGCCCTTTTATGAGGTGGGCTCTACTCCAGGCAAGGGTCAGGGAGATAGTTCTTCTCTGGGAGATACTGGACCTAGGAGGAGTTTGGAGGCTTCAGCAAGCAGCAGATCCAAGCAGCTATGCATCAGAGGTGTCAGAAAGGGGGAAGCTGCCCTAAGGCCACTGTGGAACTACACGAAGTTCATCACACCCAGAAAGCCCCAGAGAGTCACAGGACTAAGGAAGAAACACTGCTTACAAGGAAATCTCTAACAAGAGAGGAAGTTTGTTTTAAAGTTGTTTATTTATTCTGCCTCTGTGCTTTCTTTGTTTGCAAAGTTATCTTTTTCTGATTTCGTTATCTTAAATAAACCTTAACAGTTTGGGATTCTTTGATTATCTTTCGGCATGCCCACTGCAAAGAGAAGGTACCACATTTCACACTAATTCTGGCTTGGTCAGGGTCTCATCCTGATGCCAAGGACAAGGAATCCCAAACCAATCCAAAATCAACCTCTCAAAGCTTCTGTGGTTGGTGCCTGCAAAGAATTAAAAAGCTGGTTTTAATTCTTTATACAGTTGGGCAATAGGCTGACACTCATTTGGATAGGTCAGGCTGACAGCGGCAGCCTCGTAGGGCACAGCCTAGACAGATGCCAGGCTCCATTAGTGACCATTATCAAGAGGAACCTGAGACTGAGGGACACCTCCGAGAGGTGTTCCTCAGGGCTTCTCCTATTTTCATAGCCCTATATTCCAGCATGTTTCAAGCAAAATCTCCTCCACTACATTGCTGCTGCTGAAGGGATTAACCAAGCAAAGCCAGGTTAGTCACCATGCAGAACTGGCCCTAGGAAAGCGTGCTCAGTGTGCTGGCAGCGAGGCGCAGAGCTGAAGTCTGCCACAGAGCTGCATCCTGGGGATCTCCTTTGTCAGGGGTGCCATTCTTTGCAGCACTGTTTCCACCGTCTTGTCTACCCTCGAGCCAACAAAAGGCAGGGTTTGTTTGGTTTAGAATTATTTTCACACAAAATGCTCAGTAGCTTTAAAATTAAAATAGACATTTATCACACTGGATTGTCCCATTCTTGTAACAATGCTATCCTCTACAGTCTGTGTTAGGATGGTAGTCGATATATGCTCCAGTCACAGTCAATCTACACAAAAACATTTTAAAACCCCTCAAAACTTACAAATCAGGAAATACCAGGTTATCCAGCCATCCAAGATTAACTGGGTTACTCTGCTCAGTTACTAAATGAGGCGATGTTCCTCCAGACTCACTTCTTTAGTTGATGAGAGTTGCCCCCTCCACTTTTAGCTGCAATGCCGCTGACATAGAAACACGATTTCCATGCAATTCTCCCCCTGCTCAGTTTGGTTTTACTTAACTGGAATGATCCCTTCATGAAAGTATCAACAAACAGAGCTAAGTGCCTGAGTAGACACTGAAAAGAAAATGTGTGTGTGTGTACGTACACACATAGACACAAATATACACAATAACCCTTCGAAAAGCTTCCTTGGATAAAACTGTTTGCCGCTTAAGCTCTGTCCACATTCCATTTTAAGGAGATGCCATTCTGAAAAGAAGAAAAAGTCAATGTTTCCTTTTCTGATAGATCAACTATCAGATGAGGAAAAGGACCATGGGAGGAGAGAAGGATCGTTTCCACCATAGGAAATGCAAGTTTCATCCATACAGGGTGGTTTTGGTTTGTTGGTTTCTGTTTGGGTTTTTTTGTTTGCTTGTTTTTCCTAGTCCTGGTAACTTGTGTTTGAGGATGCGGAGTACACACCGCATCTCTGGAGAGGAAGTTACCAGACTGTACTGAGTCTCTAATGAGCATGTACAAACTGAGACACAGGGATGATGTAATTAAGGGAAAGGGTAATTTCCCTAGCAAATTTCTAACCTCCATTGATGGAGATGCTATAAAGTTTCTGGGAAATGGCTTTATGTGTACTTTTTACATGACTAAGAGTGTGGTTTTTCTCTGTATTTCAGCACTAGAAATAAGAAAATTATTGAACTGAGGCTTAAACTATAGGTGTTACTGTTTGCTCAATCTATAAAAAAAGAAAAAAAACAAGTGTTTCTAAAAGTGCCTGTTGACATTGGCTTGCTTTTAAGCAGGCCAGTTTTGCTGTCTCACCTACAACTTTCTTTGTTACGAAAGGGACCCTTCTAGCAGAAGTGCTAAACTGGTAGGAATTTCCTACAGACTCCCTTGCTCCTCCTGGTCCCTAGACTCTGAGGGCCAGTGAGAGGTGCAAAGGTTTCCTACAATTAAGCCAGCACATGAACTCTGTAGTACAATTAGTATAGCTATTTTGTTTAGGTGTGGTATTTTCTTGATGCAGATTGATCAGTTATTACTCTTTAACATAGATCTGATATAAGGTAGCTTCTACTTATAAAGCGTATTCTCGGTCCTTCATGAGCTGAACAGTGACTGTATGGTAGCCATGCCAGTGTGGTTTAATTTATTAAACTTTCAGCATTACAAAGGCCTAAAAATGTGTGAACCTTTTTTCTCGAGGTGTTTCAATCCTAAAAAAAGATTAAGCCAGTCCTTTACTTGGCTTCCAGAATTTGTGGGTACTTATATACACACATTTATCTTTTTAGAGAACTAGACAACCCCAGAGTATGAAGAAAAAATCCAACATAATTGAAGTGCCCTATTTTTGGAAACATATTTTTGCTTTCACTTTTGAATTCGGGAAATCAGCATCGTTTCCTAGAAAAAATAGCCTCATGGCAAAAATGTTTCAATGAAGGCATCGAAGGGAAATCCGGCTGCAGATTAAGGCAGTTAGGTGCTAATCAGAAAGTGACACACTGAAAGGCAATTCTCCTTCCTGGTGTTGCCAAGACACTAGATTTATCTGCTAGAGATGAAGACCTTGGACATGTTTAAAACTAGCCAAAGTGTTTTGCTCTGAGTGGAACTGCAATACCGTTTTGGGGAGGGAGGCTTTAAAGAAACGAGTGCAAAAGGACGCTAAGGTAGTGGAAAAGCTTTAGATTGTGTCAGAAATTACTTGGGAAAGCAGCATAGCACATTTTCAAAAAGAAAAGGAAACAGCATAGCAACAAACAAGAATAAAAAATGCTCAGTTTTCTGAAGATGTGAGTCCTGCAGGCCTCAAACACGGGAATATATTCTGCAGCCTGTCAGTGGAAAGGAGTGTAAATTGTGAAATGTCATCATAAGGGAGAACTACGAGACCTGTGACAAAATTTTAGGATCAAACAGCCAGACACATACTAGAAAAATATAATTATTTCAACTGTGCAGGAATCTGCTGAGACAGTAAAGTGAATTTACAGAACAGTGGGGATTCCCTGTTAGGTTAGCAGTTGGAC